GAGGGACAAGGAGCAGAGGGAGGACGGGGCGGGGCCTGGGAATGCGGCAGCTGGGCGGGGCGGCCTGCGAGGCGGAGGGATGGCACCCGCGTTCCTCCGTGGTTGATAACGCCAGCCAGCTGCGTGCTGAGTTGAGCTGGAAGTCCGCCTCCCCTGAAACCCATGGTCTTGGGAGGAGCACCCTTAGCCCTGCCCCTCTTGGGGCAGGGAGTCCAGGAGGAGGAGTGGGAGCCGGCATGTCCACTGCCAAGCCTGCACCTGCACGCGCGCTCCTTCACAGCCCATGAGGTGGCTCAGGTGAACACGCGTGCGATGGGGGAGGCCACACCAGCGTCCGTGGAGGGAGCGCCTACTGTGTGCCAGGCGCTGTGCAAATGATTTCATCTGCTACCACATATAATTCCTCCCCTCCCCTACAAGGAGCGGTGAGCCATCATTCCACTGTCCGGACAAGGACAAGGACAAGGACACTAAGGCCAAAAAGTGAGGTGACTTGCCCAAAGCTATAAACCTAAAACTGCTCTAAAAGAGAAAGTCTATTAAACAAAACCAAACATAAAGCAAAAAAAAAAAAAAATGCACAGAACCTCTGAGCCTAATCTTTCCTAATTGCTGGAAACAATCCTTTTTAACCAAAGAAAAAACTGGGTCTGCGTCGCTCAGCCTCTCCTCCTTTTTTCAGACACCGGGAAGTGACCAGGATGGAGTTAAACATTTAACCAGAGAGCGGGGGGGGGGGTCTGTGGGAGTCTGGCTGTCACCGCTGTTTCTTGTGCTGCTGCTGCTGCGAAGGCGGCATGAGCTACATGAAGTCCTGGGCCCAGCTGAGAGAGGGCCCCCACCCGGAAGTCCTCCCACCCCCCGTGAGTTGCGGATACCCCCCAAGGCAGAGCCTCTGTCCAGTGTCACGCAGATGGTGATGCAACCAGTCGGGTACAGACACACACATGGACCAGGTCCCTCCTGGTCAGCAGGCCCTTGGGAAACAGCTGGACTGGGGTCCAAGAGCAGCCCTTGATGGCTTCCCACTTTTCATGACATCTTCCATGTAATCCACAGAAGCATCTTATTGGTGTATGTTTATTTTATAATGGAAGCATTGGTGTACAACGTCTAAGTTCAAGCTTACTAACATTCCTTTGTGATAAATTGAGCCAACAGCAATGTCACTTTTTTGATGAATGTGCATTTTGAGATTGTTGGAGTTTTTTTTTAAAACAAAAATTAGCATTGGTATCTAATATATCAAGGATAACTGGATTCCCAGAAATAGTTGCATATGATAACACATATCTTGTTCTACAATCACAGGATGACCTACAATTTATCTGATTCAGGCGCTGACAAAGGGTAAGATGCGACTTTGCATTTAGAATGGAATCTCAGGATGTCCTCATCCTCCTGGGTTTCAGAGATTCAAGGAAAGAGTCCCTGAGGAAGTTTCTATCTTCACCTTGGGGCAGAAAATACTTTACAATGTATCACATAAAGTCAGGACATTGTCAGGTCTTCATTCAAAGTTTCAAACACACACTTTAATGTATCAGTTTTGTTGTTAACACTTGTTCCACTTTGGTACCAATGGCAACACTGTAACTAACCCTAACTCCTCAGAAGGAGCTTTTCCACTCAGTAAAAGTTAGAAGTATCTCTCCGGAAAGGTGCTTTCAAAAGGCATGATGTGTAAGAACCGATTGAGGAACTTGTGGAAAATGGGGTGATGCTGATATGGGGCGTCCTCGAGAGGCCCGCTTGGGGAGATGTCCAGATGATGCGACTGTGTCCCGCTGACTTGGGGCGGGAGCAGGCTCTAGGCATAGGTGTCTTTCCCAGTGGCAGGGAGTGGGACGTGGCATGGTGTGGCATGTGAGCGGAGCCATGCACTTGCTGGTACAATTTTACGTGAGCAGACGTGCGCAGGCCAGAACAGACCAAAACAGAACAAAGCAAGAAAGCCTGGGGGTAATTGCTTCCTAATCAATGACACACTTACAAGGAATTCAGATCTTTACGCAACTTGGCAGGAGAGAGCTTCATTCCAAGGTGTATCTAGAAATGTGTGTCTCAGGCCTCAATGGTTAACACTTTGGTGTCTCCAAAATATTAGCAATGCACAGCAGATGTTCTTGGATCTTTTTTTTTATCACAAATTTTTATTTTTTAAACTTTATTATTATTTTTATTTAGAGAGAGGTAAAGGGAGGAAGAAAGAGAGAGAGAAGCATCAGTGTTAGAGAAACATCCAAGGGCTGCCTTCTGAATGCAAAAACCAGGTACATGCCCTGACTGGAAAACGAACTGGCGACCTTTTGGTCTACAGGACAATGTCCAACCAAGTGAGCCACACCAGCCAGGGGTAATCATACACTTATAAAAAGAGCACTTTTATGAAATGTGTACGAGCCCTCGGACGCACTCAACCACCTCAGACTGGGCTTGCTGCCTCCCAAGGGCACCACGGTGTGACCTTGAGAACCCTTGACTTGCCCCAAGTCCCAGATCCTGTGATGACCCCCATTTTGCAGTTGAGAGAACTGAGACTGGAGTGGCCAAAGGACTTGCCAGCATCACATAGCTACTCTGGGCTCAGCTGCCTTCCCCACTGAGTGCGCCCTAACTTCCCGCATCTGCAACGCTCTCGCCAAGCAGAACACTCCTCTCCCCTTCGGGAGCAGGTGCCTTTGCTCTGCGGACTCCCATCCAGCTGGGCTCAGTTGGCTGTCCCTGCCTTTGATATTGTTGCCCTCCTGCTGGAGGGTTGCTCCTCCTCTGGGGTCACCGCTGGGCCTCGGTGGGAGGTCCCTCCTGCCCCTCTTCCTGACACTCCGACCTGCAGAGCCTTCCCAGTAGCACAGGCAGGACGCAGGCCCGCCCCTCCCTGAACCCTGCAGACCCCCCACCGCCGTGCACACTGGAATTAAGTATTGAGTGAAAGCAGCAAACCTGAATCTTTTTTCTTGAGAGAAGCATGTGTACCACTGTGCAAGAATATTTTACCAGCAACACTCTACCTGGATGTTTTATTTTTTTTTGAGAATATTTTGGTCTCTGTGAAAGTATGGTTTAACCTCCTGGGCTGTCTATTTATCCTGGTGGGACATGGCTAATAAAAGACTAACCCAGTCTGCCCTGGTTCCAGACCCAGATAATGGGCACATCCTGTGGGAGAGAGGGGACAAAGTGGCAGCTGACTAAGTGTGACCACAGGTTAACTGCTCAGACACTGAGCACTCACCTGCGCGCCCAGAGTTGCCCTCCGAACTTTCACCTGTTTTGCCCCATTGACTCCTCACCACAACCCTGTGAGGAGGGCTCTGCCATCATCCCTGGGTCACAGATAGGGACCCAGAAGTGCAGGGCGCTGCAGTGACTTGTGCAAGGCCCCTCAGTGGGGAAGAGGAGGAGGCAGGATTGGGCCCCAGGCACCTTTGAATATGACTGAAGGAGGCTGGGTGGAAAGTTGCGATATGTTTGTGGGGATTAAAGTCAGTTTATAGCTGGCAAAGAAGAGCTCTCTTTGGAGAAATACCCTGATAAGCTGCTGGGACAGAAGGTGAGCCCCAGAGAGTTCGGCAACAATGTCAAATTGCTGGGCGCAAGAAAATGAGAACTTTGGTTTTGTCCTGAGAGTAAGGGGAGAGAACAGAGGGTCACGTGACAGGCAATGGCCTCTTGGGCCAGGAGGCCAGGAGGGCTCAGGAGGAGTCTTGTGTTGCCGGGCAGTGCCGGGCTCAACCCTCTCAGCCGCACCCAGTCTGCAGGAGTCCCTGTCAGCCTTGCCGCTCGAGGTAGGAAGGGGGGTTTGAGTGTGGTGTGTGTGGAGGGAGAAGGCAACGGTGCTGAGGCCTGTGGGGAAGAGCGGGAGCTGGGGGCAGAGGTGACAGACACTTGTTCAGACACCTGGGGAAGGACTCTGGCTCTTCACAAGGCGCGGAGTAGCAGTGTGCCCGGACCTTACCCAGATCTCAGGGGGCTGGTGGCCAGGTTCGGTGTGCATGCTCCAGAGGCGTTTTGGGCAGCAGAGTGGTCCCTGTGTGCTGAGTTCTGGAGAAGAGCAGGGACTTCTTGGCACTGGCTTGTCTTGGCACAGCGTGGTGGTGCCTCATTTCCACCCCCCCCCTTCCTTCTCAATTATCATAAGCACAGTGTGATAGAACAGTTTAGAAAGGGAACAGGCACCCTTTCTTGTGACTTCTGGTCCTTATCCCTATGCATAGGAGTAGGGGTTTTACAGTGCCCACCATCTTGGATTTTGTATCCAGCTTTTTCTTTTAATGTTTCTAGTATTTTCCCAAGCTTTGCAACAATGCACGTGGGATTATTTTTGAGGTGGTGATGTAAAACCAGCATAGGCTTGAGGTCAGGCTGACCTGGACGTCTAAGCCTGGCTCTGCCACTTACTCTCTTTATCCTGAGCCACTCGCCCCACAGCCACCTGGTACCAGTGTCCGAAGCCCTCCCTTGGGCTTCATGCTCGCACCATACCCCCCCCCCGCCCCCACCTCTGCTCTGCTTCAACTAAGCCGGCTCCTGCAGCATGAGTGTGAGGAAGCCCTGATGACACTGGCTTCCTTAAGTATCACAGGAGAGGAAGCCTTCAGAAAGACTTCCCTAAACTCGCAGTCAGATACGGCATTGCCCTGCAGTGCTGCCCATCCCTGGATGCCCACAGAACCATAAAACTCTTGCTCCACGAGCGAGTTACGCGAACCACAACCTCTAAGTCATCCCGGGAGAGTGACCCCTGCAACTCTCACTGCTTAAGTAGGCACAGCCCCTTTGATCGACAGGCAAGGTCACCAATCGTACCCGAGGCAGGTCTCATTTTGCGCTCTGGGGGGCGTGCCACCTCCTTCACTCTTATCCAATAGGATGCGCCTAAAGGGCTGTGGGGTGGGGCCCTACTCCCAACAGCCAATGGGACGAGCACAGCGGGCGCGGAGGAGGCGGTGCGCTTGGCGCGGGCGGCAGAAGTGGCTGCGGCGGGGCGGGTCAGGGCAGGGCCGGTTAGCGCAGCCGGAGCGAGGGCCGGAACCGGAGCCGGAGCCGGAGCCGGAGACGCGGTCGCTGTGGAGCGGGGTGCGCGGCGGGTCCGGAGGCGAGCGTCGGCCGAGGTGAGGAGCGCGCGTCGGCGGTTGGGGAGGCTCGGCGGACGCGGGGGCTCTGGTCGGCGGCCCGGCCCTTGCGCTGTCAGGCCGCCGCGCCCCGCGGCGCGGGCAGCCTCTGCGGCCGCACTGCCAGCGCGCGAACTTCCTGTCGCCGTGGGAGGGGGTGTGTTCGGGACCGAGCGGGCGCCGAGGGGGGCGCCGGAGAAGGCGTCTGGGGTGGGGGGAGGGTCCGGAGGATTGTAGGGTCGGCGTGAGGAGAAGTGGGAGCCGATGGGGCTCTGGGTGGGGGCGCGCTGGAGGGCGAAGAGCCGGAGCCGGGTCCGCGGGGGTCAGAGGGATGCTGCTGGAGGGGACGCGGGCGACTCCAGGAGCGACTTAGGGCGGAGCGGGGGCCACGGCAGGGAGGGAAGCCCAGGGGGGCAGAGGTCCCCTCGTGCCGGCGCGGGCAGGCGAGGGCGGCCGGGGAGAGCGCCGGCGGAGAGGTGTGGCTGGGAAACGCCTGTTGGAGGGCTCGGCTCGGTCCAAGGGTGGCCTGGAGGGAGGGGGCGGAGGGAGCGGGCAGGACACATAGGCGGATGCGCTTATTTGGGGCGCTTTGATGACCGCCCTCCATTTCCTTCCTTCCCAGCCCCCTGCCCCTCGCCTGGCTCTATATGGGGGCCGAGGCGAAGCCCTTCCGCGTGAGCGGGTCCTAGGGCTCTGGGGACCGGCAGGAGAGCCTGGAGCGGTGTCCCCGTTTGTCCCTCGGAGTTTTCCCAGACTGTCACTGATTTACAGAAACGTGAGCGTCCTCCCTCCTCCACTGGGGTTTCAGAACCTGCCTGGCATCCAGAGAGGTCCGGGACGGGAGAGGGTGCGATTTCTGCTGCTCGATTTCAGTGATTCACGGGGTTTCCGCCCAGCCCAGGGGTGTCCAACCCGCCGCCCTGGCGACCGAGGGCCCCGGGGGTTGGGGCGGCTGCCTACGGCCCAGGATCACTATGAATGCGGCCCAAGACAAAATCATAAATTTACTTACCCCCCCCCCTTTTTTTTTTTTGCTCATCACTTTTCCTTAGTGTTTGTGTATTTAATGTGTGGCCCAAGACAACTCTTTTTCCAATGTGGCCCAGAGGTGCCAAAAGTTTGGACACCCCCTTATCTTTACAAGTGCAGCTGGTCGAGGAAGCAGGCTGGGCTGTATCCCGGGGACCCACACAGCTGCAGCCTTTGAGGGCGCTGCTGCTGGTCGAGTGAAGGAGGGAAGGGGGCCTTCAGGTGGCGTGGGATGTGCCATTCCTGGACCTTGTCTCCTCTTCTGTCCCCCAAGCGCCCTGGGTTTCTGTGGTTAAGGAGGGTAGGCTGCCTGCAGTCATCTCCAGGGCTACTCATTACACTGTTTACCAAACACTCGTTGGCTATCCTGATGAAAATCGGAGGCCAGCTCCACGAATTTAAACGTGAGCCGCTGGTGGTGAGCTCACACCTCCCTCCCCTCCTCTTAGGTTCCCCACTTTGCAGCTACCCCAACATGCTGAAGCTCTGGTTCAGCCCTCCTAGGACTGAGGGTTGGAGCGCAGGGCAGGGTGGGTGCTGGTGAATGCCAGCCCTTCCATTCCTGCCCCAAACGTTGTTGCTCCACTTGATCACAAGCCTGCCTGCAGCCTCCTTGCAGAGAGGCATTGGGGGGGGGGGGGCGGAGGCAGCCAGTGCAACTCGGGTTTCTCTTGATTCACAGGGGAAGCTCTCATCTGTATGCATTTAAACTTAATTTTAGAGTTTGGCAATCTCCTTTGTGAGGTCGTTCTAGCTGAGATATGAGGCTGCGACATCAGAAACTTTTCTGTGGTGTGTTTTTCTTGTGACAATTGTCTTGAAGCTTTAAAGAAAGTGGCCATTAGGCCGATGATATTTATTACTTGGGGAAGTAACATAACACAGAGGAGTAGATCATTGATTAAATCTGTACTCTATTCACTTTTTTGGAAAAGAATAAAAACTCACTTGAATGGAAATGGCATTCTTAGCTCATGCTGTTCGGGAAGTGGAACTTTATTACTTTTAGTCTCAAATGTATAAGAGGTCATAATGTTGAACTAATCTAAAAGTATGCGTATATGAAAGAACAATGTCTGGATTTTGAACGTATCCTGCTTCTGGGAAATAAAGTTCACTTTCCCTAGTCCTGGACACCAACCAAGTCCAGATCTCTGGTGGCCTGGCCAATTTTGGGGTGGGAGCTGAGGTGCCTTTGTCCTTAATCTTTTTGTTTCTTCTCTATTCCCTTCGAAGTCCCCACAGATCGAGGTAGGAGCGCGATCTTTGGGCTTCCTGCTTCTGTTGGGGTCACCTGTTGTTGCAGGGTGTTATGGAATATCGAAAGCTTGCGTAGATTCCTGAACAACAATAATGGAGCCTTGCGTTCAGAGATCCTGCCAGCAGTGACCAAGGGCGCTCTGGCTGCCCTCACCTGGGCCTCCCCGCTGACTTGGGCCTGCTTATCTGCCATCAGGTTGTAATGGTGGCTTTGTGGAGGCCACCAGGTAGATTACGAGGGTAATGACCACCGTCACAGGAGGGATAGTGCTGGTTCAGTTTTTTTCCAGTTAGATTGGAGCAGCAGCCGCATACCTGAAGGCAGTGGTGCCTCAGCTGTGACGCGGGCTTGCATTCCGCAGGCAGCCGCCTTTCTGGCCCCGGCAGTGACCCTTCACATACCTGGGAGCATCATCCTGAGCGCTCCCAGGGCTGGTCCCTGGGATGGCTGTGCAGGGGTTCCTCCAGTGCTTGGTGTTCTTGCGGGGGAATTCCTTAGCATCCAGATAATTAGGCTCTGTCTGCTGATCGGAGACAGTCGAAAAAGAAGTAGTCTCAAAGTGTTCAGTGCAGTGCAACATTCTTGGCATACGTGTAGTTCCAAAGGTAACTAACTGTTTGAGGGACAACTGCCGTTTAAGAGCACAAATTTTGGTATTTTGATTAAAAACACATAGAACAACAACAAAAATCTCTTCTTTAATTATGTAATGACTTGTATTTGTTCCCATGATTGCACATTTATCTGTTTGCTTAATAAAACAGAAAGTGCCATATAGTCTTTTTTTCTTAGAATAAAATCTTTATTTTTAAAAATTGAAATGTATTTAACATGTAATATTATATAAAGTTACATTGTAAAAAATTTCAATATTAAAACATTATTTGAATATTTCCTGTCTCTAAGCACTGAATTACACAGAAATGTATATAGAAATACACAGGATGTAGAAATGTATAAATGCAGACTCAACTATGAAAGCCCTCAGCAAGAAACCCTAAGGAAAATAAGCATAGAAGAAATTTGCTATAGGCTGAAACTAATATAAAATAATATTGAATGTCAACTATAATTGAAAAATAAAGTAAACTTTTTTATATTTTTAAGGTAAAATATATAAATAATGAACCTTAACTGTGTTAAAGTCCTTAGAAAGAAAACAAGTGGAAAGATATAAATCACATTATTGCAATTGTTTTCTAAATCTAGAAATGATTTGAGTACTTCTATATTCTCTAAATTTTTTATTATTAATTTTTTAAAAGATTTTGTTTATTTTCAGAGAGACGGGGGGGGGGGGGAGAAAGAGATGGAAAGAAACATCAATGTATGGCTGCCTCTTGTGCGCCCCCAACTGGAGACATGGCTGGCAACCCAGGCGTGTGCCCTGACTGGGAACTGAACCGATGACACTTTGGTTCACAGGCCAGCACACAACCCACTGAGACACACCAATCAGGGCAAGATTATTAATTTTTTAAGAAGATTTTATTTATTTTCAGAGAGAGGGGAAGGGAGGGAGAAAGTGAAGGAGAGAAACATCAGTGTGAGACAGAAACATCAGTTGGCTGCCTCTCGCACACCCCAAACTAGGGACCTGGCCTGCAACCCAGGCATGTGCCCTGACTGGGAACTGAACCAGCGACCCTTTGGTTCACAGGCCCGCGCTCAATCCACTCAGCCACACCAGCCAGGGCAGATTATTAATTTTTAATGGAAGGAAGGATAGTATACTCTTTTAATAAATCTAGCATAACTTAAAAAAAAAAGAAGCTTCACTGTCATTTAGAGCTACGTGCTCAGTGGCTTGTGTAACATGCTCTGGCTGTGTGGGGCTTATGTGCCTCTTCTCCTCCCTAGAAGCATGGACTGGTGGAATGGGAGGGGTGCGGACGGAGACCAGGGGCCCTGGGCCCTGTCCAGCCTTTCCCTGACTAACCCCAAGGCTGAAGGAAATCATGTTCTCTTGGACCTCAGTTTTCATATTTGTAAAATGAGGGGCTTAGAGGTTCTTAACCTTCTGAGAATCTGATAACAGCTATGGACTTCTTCCCAGAAAGCAGACACACGGACAGCTTCAGAGGCCTGGACCTAGATCAAGATCTGGATCATCTCATCTCGAAGCTCCTGCTCAGCCCTGGCGTTCTGTAGTCCTGTTTGTCTGGTCAGCTTTGAGCTAATAATAACGATGACTCGTGTTTATAGGGGGTACATCCTAAAGCCTTTTTACCTTGTTTTCTTGGGGGGGGCGCGGTTTAAAACATGTCTGAGTGGTGCGGGTGGTGAGAGATAGGCCTCTTTGTGATGTCCCAGACCTGGCCACCCCTTCGGTAGGGCCACATAGCCAGAGGCCTGTCTTGGGATTGGACCCGGGCTCCTGGTGGCCAGCGTGGGTTTTTTTCCATTTTCTGTGGGGTTTAGTTTCCTAGGTGGTTGTCTTTACGAGTTGTGTCTGGCAGTGCATATGTCCCAGATGGTGTCGCTCGCAGAGGAAACTATTTGTTCATCGGCTGAGAGAGCTGGTTTTTGTCTGAATTTGGATCACTACAACACCTTTCTGCCTGACCTTCAAAAGGCTACTTATTTTGTTTTTGTTATTTTTTCTTGCCGCATTTTACACAGGGACATGTTTGTAGGCCTTGGGTGTTGTGAGCAGACTTGTTTAATGTTTATTGATTAAAGAGTACATTGAAATGATTACTTCTCAGTA